ACGTCGTCTACTTAAGTAAATGCAGTAGCAAGTCTTGTACATTATTCGGCCTGCCCAAGACACCAGCCACAACCTTATAGTGTTAGCCCTTTGCTGATGCAAATGCCGATAGATTCCGATGCTCCCCTGAAAAATATCGCGGAGCATATCGCTGCAGATTGCGTATTTCACTGCCGCTGGGATGAGAATACCATCTCCTGAATTGACAGGGCCAACAGTTCTGACGCATGCTTTCTGCGTTGTTTCGGTGTTGTGAATTGCCAGACGAAAAAAAGTATCGGTGTCGCCTGACAGAGAAAAAGCATGACTTTTTCACCAGAATTGAAACCACTGTATACGTAGGTTTCTGTGTTCTTCCGTCGATTTATTATTCAGTCGTCAAACCGCTACTTTATCATAAGAGTTGGTAGTTTCTAATAATAATTGCAAGCATTCAGATTGTTGGAGGGATATATATGGCTTGAGTGTGATAAACCTGGCCACTAATAAGTACTTGGCTGTTACTTTTTTGAAGGAAAGGGAGATGTTTCGAGCATTGAAGCCATGTCTCGAGAAGGTTGCTCAACAGAAAAGTCCAATTTAATGCCTAGGAATATCACGAGGATCTAATTGTGAATCGGCGTATCCCGACAGTGTAAAGCAGATTTTCGTAGGAAAATATATAACCCTACGTTAGTTGGGTGAGGTTGAGCGTTCTGAAAGTAAGATATGCCTACAAGGGTTAAATCATTTAGAATGTTCATGAATAATTGGGGCTTTTTCAGCTAGAAACAACTCTATTTCTAGGATTCGTGACACTGGATTTAGGACATTATTTGAACAAAGCCTACAATCACTATTATCCCTTCAATGGAATAAAAGGTATTTAGACAAGCCCACCTATGTGTAGTTGATTTATTGATGAAAAAGAGAAATCTAAGACCTATCATTTGTTCAGGGGCCCGCGGTTCTAACTCTGATGACATTTTTTATTGCCTTTTTATTTGGTGAGCATGTGCCTATACGGCCACATGTGCATCCACGGAAGCCGAAATGACGACAATATGGACACCCCTAACACACTCTGCCTACCCAACAACTCTCACATATCCAGTACTAACAACCCACATCCATCGACACGATCTCGAAACAAGTCGCACGATCCGAATCAATTCTACGTTCCCGAACCTATCCTACTTTCACCGTTATCACACATGTACATCCCAGCATTTATGGATAAACCGACCGATCTAGCGACCCCGTTCAGCCGTGACACCATAGACTGCAGATCACCAAAACTTGGAGCAAGTAAGGCGATATCATCGACATAGTCGAGGTCATTCAGTCGATGTCCGGTTACAAACTCAGCACCGTCACCTTCGTGTAGGACCCTCATGAAAATCCAGTTAATAACCTAGTTGAAAATAATGGGCGACAGGATTCAACCCCATCAAACGCCAGACCGAATACCGAACGGTTGGAAAGATTGTTGCTGACCAGGACTCTCTCACTAGTGGAGCGATAATAGGCCTTGATTATGGCGTTGATTTTTGCCGGTACACCATCTAGCGCCATTATCCGCCACAGGGACTCACGATGAACCGAATCGAACGCGGCGGCAAAATCAACGAAGCAGACGGCCGTTGGTTGTTGGTAGCTGCGATGAAATTCGAGAATGCGCCTCATTGTGAATATCCGGTCTGCGCATCCACGTCCAGCACGAAATCCGGCTTGCTTGGGTTTCGTCCTTGAGTCACGTGCAGCCTGGAATAGCCTGAGAAGGACAATAGTATAGGTCTTCGCAGCAACGTCGCTTATGCCGCGGTAGTTCTCGCATCTTGTCTTATCTCCCTTTTTGAGGATAGGTACGAGGATGGCTAAGCCCCAGTCATCAGGAACAGTCTCGTTTCTCCACGCTCGTTTAGTCACCTCGGGGAGTCAGGGGGCAAGAGCGCGGACCCAAGACTTGCAGATTTCAGCGGTTATATCGTCCTCTCCGGGTGCCTTATTGTTGGGTAGCTTTCGCATGACATCGGCGACTTCTCCTTCCGGGCCGAGGGTCGCATGGTACTGCCTAGGTGTGAGCGAAGAAATTCTGCTGAAGAGGAGAGCAAGGACGTGGTGGGTTGGATATCGAAGTTGCGATGGTGCTCGAAGTGCTCGCGTCAGCGCTCGACATTGGCCGAGTTGTCTGCAATAAGGCCGCCTTTCATGTAGTGAACAGAGTCACTCAGTCTAGAGGGCTTAACGCTAACTTGGCGGATCAGTTGGTAGATTTTGAGAGTGTTACCAACGTTCGAGGCCTGTTCCATGGATGTCGATATTTCTGCCCAATATTGCTTCCGGTCATCCCTGGCCTATTTTGCCGTCATCTTCCGAAGTTGGCGGAAGGAATCGTCATTGCGAGACCTGGCTCGAGCCGTCTGAGCAGACAACTGCAAGGCTCTTCCGCCTATCCAGTCACTGCGGCGTCGTTGGATGTATCCGATGATTTTCTCAGCTGCCCCATAGACTGGCGTTTTTAGTGACGACTACTGATTGCGGCCTTCTCTGTCCGCTAGGGTCGTAAAACACAACCGGATTTCTCTGTTCAGGGCTTCAGCAGGGCTGGTTTGTCGAATTTTTGTGACATCGAGGCGTCTAGGACGTGGCATTTTTGGCGCAGATGAGAGATGAACTTTCAAGCGTGTACGAACGAGGACATGGTCCGACACATGGGCGTTACCAGTCTCGGCACCACGCATCGATCTGCTATCCTGAACCCAGCTGCGAAACCTTGAGCTGACTAGTATGTAGTCAATCTGACTGACCATATGACCGTCGTTTGAATGTCAAGTTAGCAGAGTTTTTTTCGATTCTGGAAACATGTGTTGGTGACAAGCAGTCGGTTTCGATCAGCGAAGTTCAGCAATCAACATTTTCATATCGGGAACCAAACCCAAAGCGACCAAGATGATGACTGTTTGTGGATTATTCATTTATCTATAAGTGTTCTTTTTTCCTTCTTTAGGACACCCCGTTGTCATCGTGGAGGTGGTGGCCGTTGGCAAAACCGGCTGGCGGTTCTAAGTATGATTTTGGAGGTGTTTTCCTCCAGCCTACTCATTACAATATAACTAAAAAATGACACGTGTTACTGCCATGCAATTTTCTTTTCTGCCTTCGACGTTCTTCTTACAGAAACGGCCATAAACCAAGCGATTTATCCGTGTCTGGTTCCTCCTCTTATAACATTCACCATTCTGTCAATATTTGGTACCAATAAAAACATGACATTCATACGTTACGATGTGTTTCTCGTGTATCCTCTGCTGCTTCCAGTGTCTCCTATAACTTCCTCCGGCCGGACAGCTTGCCAACCGGATTCTTTTTGGAATTGCCTACTTCTTTCAGTCAGACCTAAGTACTATGAAGTCAGACCGTTCAGACGGACGTGATGTCCGTCGTATCACCCGCCGCACAGAGATTGGAAATAGACTTGTAACCATAAGACTCACATGGCACAAGCACGCGCCCTACTCTAACGTGGTCGGAGAAGGAGCTTTTCACGATGCACACATTATGGTCATTTTTGTGTCCGCATTGTATCTTGGACAGGGTGTTTGGGAAAGGTTTTCAGTTCGGTTCGGTCTAGTTTTATTAGGGGAAATATATGCGAGCGCCTGTGAACTCCCTACTGGGTACAAATCGTTTGCGAAAAGCACTGATAAGTGGGGAGTTGAACAGGAAATTTTGTACATACAGTGAGTGACCTATCTCAGGAAATGTTGGCTTAAATTTTGAAATGCGTTTTCGATTACGAAGGATTACTTGGTCGCAGTTGTAATATTGATTATCCTAAAGCATACTCTTATGACATTTCGGACTCGACAGGATGTCGGCTTTTAAATGCATTTATTTTCAATCTCCTGTAAAAAGCGTGCCCAGTAAAAAATGACTACTTAAGAAGCATGCATTTTCCCATTGATTTTCGATGGTTTTGCAAGTTCAACTATATTTTATGGAAACCATAAACAAAAATATGCTTTCTTTTAGTCAATCAATAGAGAATCACGTCTTCTTTATATTTTTACTTAAGAAAGGAGTATACTTAAGCTTTAAAAAGTTTTCTAATTGCCGAATAATTTGAAGCCTGATCATTCGTTGCATTAGCGCTTAGTGATTTCATTCTACACGGTGCATGCGTTCCGCGTAAAGAAAATCACATATTTTTCAATGCCATTAAAGAGATATCATACAGAGTCCATAAAATTTTGCCATGGGTGCCGACCATGTTGTTCATTTCATGAGGAGCAGTGGTAAACGGCCAGATTCGATGCTTTGTAAATGGACATTTCTCGGTCTTAAAAAGTCTCATAATTAGAAACTTTTTTAAAACCTTATTAAACTCCTTTCTTAAGTATAAAATATAAAAAAGACGTGATTCTCTATTGATTGACTAAAAGAAAGCATATTTTTGTTTATGGTTCCTATAAAATATATTTGAATTTGCAAGACCATCGAAAATCAATGGGAAAAATGCATGCTATATAAGTAGTCATTTTTCACCGAGCAAGCTTTCTACATGAGATTAAAAAGAAGTGCATTTAAAAGCGGACATCCTGCCGAGTCCGAAATGTTATAACAGTATGCGTTAGGATAATCAATATTACAGCTGTGACCAAGTAATCCTTCGTAATCGAAAACGCATTTTAGAATTTCAGCCAAAATTTCATGAGATTGGTCACTCACTGTTGGCCAGTCGAACAATAGAAATAACTAACGGTTACTTAAGCATTGTAAGTAGTGTAAAACTGACGAAGCCATTTTAAATAGAAAAATCACTAGATAATGTGTTTTTTCCTTAAAAACATATTGATCACAGACTTTCGTTCTGAAAAATCATTTACTCTTGTGATGAGGTCTTATTTTTAGACAACTCTACGAAGTCGGCCAATGTGGTCATATGTGGGACGAACTTTCGACGTGAGCACATTATGTCGACAACAACTTCTGAGGAATGTCAACGCCTGATGGTTTGGATGGCCATCAAATTTGGAGAGCGACCAGTCTGGCCTTCATCAGCGGAGACGATAAATAGCAAGACGTTTATCGACATCATAAAGGGTGTCTTCGGTTACAACGGCATTCAGCGACGTCGAATGGACACCGTAATGTTGCAGGATAATGCCCCTGTTCACCGCTCAAAGGAGGCATGATTCCAATTCAACTTACGACCATAATCTGATATCTTAGGCCACAGCCAGCTTTTCCGCCTGCGGCCTTCGAAACATCTTTATTCGCGCCAATCTCCCGGACCTAAATCTAATCGAATATTTTTTTGCATAATCAAAAGAAATTGCGACAAGGCAAGAAAACATCTCTCTATGGAGCAAAAGCTGGAATTTTTCTTAATAATTTCATGGACCAAACCAACTTAGACGACTTGGTAGTATCCATGACCTCTCGTCTTGCGTCAACTTTAAAAGTACTGATACATTGTATTTGTTACTATTTTTCATCATTTTGTGGTTCTATGACATTCCCCTTGCCTGGTGGCAGTTAAATTAGGCCTTAAATAATTGACCTGCCATAGATTAATTTTCTTGATTTGCTGGTTTTTTGTTAAATAAATTATTTCTTAGTCAATAAATAATCATTTATGATTCAAAATCTGCCAAAATATTTATGAAATACGCGAGCCTAATAGTCATCTGGTAGATTCTTGGTGAATTACTTTGGAAATCCTACTTGGGCAGTCAACTTACTTTGTCAGATTTGGTGTATTCCAGACGTTGCAGTAGGTTGGACGGGTAATTTGACTCAAATGTGATTAAACTCGCGTCGTCCGGCGGGGCCTTGCAGCTCAAGTGGTTAGAGCGTTGGCTGTACTAAAGCCTTCCCCTTACTGCGTGGGTTTGAATCCCACCGAGGCGCCGAGATTTCCACAGTTGGATCAGTGTGAATTATTAAAAGTCTGCTAGAATATCTGTAAATAATTTATGGATCAATATGTGCCCTATTTTGAAGCCCAGTCATATCTTTAACGCAGTCTAACTTTCGTGGATGTGGGGTGGACTTTTCGTGCGCCATAGCGACTTAAGTGCACAGTTCGTGACCCTTTACGAGATAGGTCAATAACTGTATAAGTCGGGTGACGGGTTATGTGACTGAGTGTGTGGCTTGTAATTGAGAGGCTTGCTTTGCGTCATGTCTACACTTAAATGAGTCTACGGAGGTGGAGAGTATATCAGTAGGCAGAGCACTCCACGCTGAAACCCCCCTGCTACTAAAAAGAAAGAGCTTTTGTCCATTGATCCGTGGTTTATCTGCGCGCGAATCTGGCGTGTTAGTTTGATTGAAGTAATCACCGGGATCTAAGCAACAATGAAGGCTGTTTATAATACGGAATGTAAGTATAAGGTCCCTGCGCAATTGCCTTTGGGAAAGGGGAAACAGGTTGAGAGTTGACAGTCTGATTTCATAGGGCAGTGCTTTCAGATCTTTTGGCATTTTTGTCACCCGTCTCTGGCCTGTATAGTCCTTGACAGTCCAAGGTCTCCATGCCTGTATGGCGTATGCTAGACGAGACCGACCGAAAGTGTCAAATATTTTGAATGCTCGTCCAATAAGTTGCAATGTAGTCGTAGCCGACTTAGCTGCCATCGCGCAGTGCAGTGTTGGATTGAGTGAAGATGTAAACCACATACCCAAGTTCTTCTGACTGTCAACTTGTTGCAGTGGTGTACCGTGAAGAAATCAAGTCCTGGGGCCTGAGGCTCTGCGCCTGCCGAGTTGTAGAGGGTTGCACTTGCTCACATTAAAGGACATGAGTCAGCGCTTTGACAAGTTCTCGAGTCCACTCAAGTTTGTTTTCAGGTGGTCTCCATCTGCCGCATTGTGAATAACTTTCCACAATTTTTTGTCGTCGGCAAACAGGATGGCATCACAGTCTAGGTCCCTAACGCATTCATTTATGAAAAAGAGGAATAACGTGGGGTCAAAGACCGAGCCCTGTGGGACGCCACTCACCACGCTTAACTCTGAGGATTGTTGGCGTCCGACCTGCATTCTTTGGAACCGTCCAGCCAAAAAGCTCTGGATCCATACAAGAAGGCGTTCACAAATTTCAGCATTGCGCAATTTGTACAAGAGCAATGATGAGGAACACTTTCGAAGGCGTTTTTGAAGTTGATTAAGATGGCGTGCACCACATTGCCTTTGTCGTGTGCTTTAGACCAGCGTTCGAGTGAAGAGAGCAGATTCGTGAGACAGCACCTACCACTTCGAAAGCCGTGTTGGGCATCGGTGAGGAGGTGATGCTGTTCGAGGAACTGCATCAACGCTTTCTTGGTTATTTTCTACATTATTTTTTAACAGCTGGAGGAGAAAATCACTGGCCTGTAGTGAGTCGCAGACGCACGACTTCCACACTTAAAGAGCGGAGTGATGGTAGCGGACTTCCAATCGGAGGGTAGGTTCTCAATAACAAATGATGAAAAATGCCCCTGTTCAACTTCGCAGTTCTTTATTACGGCAAAGGTATCGTCTACATTGCGAAGCCACACTTTGGGACTGAGAGCTTGAAAAACCTATTTCCTAGTCGCTGCAATACAAGTTCTGCGAGCACTCCTGCGAAGTTGAACGGCTGCATCAGAGGCTGAATGAGGTCTTCATGGCTATACAGTTTACTCGTGAAGAGGCAATAGGGGTAGCCTGCCGTTTCTTGACGTGAGAACACAAAGGCTGAGCGATGGTAGTCTAGCGACGAGCGTCAATAGGAAAGGATCTAATTCTGAAATTATCCTCACTTGTGGAAACAACCACCCCGCGGCTCGCAAAATAAGCTGCGTCCGAACTCTGTTCCACCGGGCCTATCGTTATTGCAACAGCGACTATCTCCCTAAGAAAGAGTTTGTCTACCTTTATAGGTTGTTTCGCTCTTACGGATATCCGACAAGTTTTGGAAAGAACTGCCTCAGACACCAGGCACAACCCCAAGGTCCCACCCTCAACGGGGAAATTGTGTCTCGACAATTCTTCTCCCTGCCTTATATGCAAGGAACATCGGAAGTAATCGCCCGGCAGTTAAATCGCTCTGGTATTCACATCGCCCAAAAACCAGCATCCGCACTACGCGCAGCACTATCTCGAATCAAGGATCCCCTCCCCAAAGAGCAACAAACAAACGTAACTTATCGCATTCCGTGCGCAACTTGTTCTTGCGTGTATGTTGGTCATACAGGTCGAAGCCTGGACACCCGTATTAGTGAACACAAACTGGCTGTCCGTCGTCGAGACCTCTGTCCCTCGCCTTTGCTCATGCACTCGAGTGCGACCACCGATTCAATTGGGATAGCACTGAGGTCGTCGCCATGGCTAACAGAAAACGGGCGAGAGCATTTCTCGAGGCTTGGTACTCCAATGCTGGTAGTATCAACCGCCATGTTGACCTGGACGCCCATTACGAGGGCCTACGCTCACGACTTAATGGCCCCTGCCATAATGCAACATCCATAACCCTGACCACCAGCTGGGACCGGAAAAACAAACATGCGCACAGACGCACCTGGCGCAGACGCACAGAAGTGGTTATGGCCCATCTGGTAGACCCCAGGGGTGGACCAGCTGCGCCAGGTGCGTCTCTGCGCATGTTTGTGTTTCCGGTCCCAGCTGGTGGTCAGGGTTATGGTTGGCTGAATGAAGGCAAACAAGCCCGAAACAGAGCTGTATCAATCTACCCCCCAGACTCTGTCGTATCCGCTATGCTATCATAGCTTGGCCGACTTCGGCCTGGTAGGTGGTTGCCTGTTCGTGACCCCTACCACCCATACGAAGCTTGTTTGCTTCGGGAAGCCAATGGATCGGTGTGCGCCCATTCCTGAGTGAATATATGCATGTATATATATATATATTTTATGACAGATGGGCGTTCACCGATCAGGTTACGGAACCTGCTCGTTCCGTTGTGCCTTGGGGCTCATACTTAAACCCTCG